AATCATGTCAGTTTTGCGAAGATGTTTAAAAAAAAAAATTATGTATGCGTCTTAAAAACGTTATCTTGTTTTGAGTTAGGTTTGAGACGTAGCTTGAATTAGCTGTTGCTGTTCTCAGGAGCTGGGGCCATGGCGGTCTCTCTGGTGTAAGTATTAGGCATAATATCCTGGTACCGAGACGCTGAGAGATAGGTACAAGAACGTGTATCCTGGTACAGATGGAAAGCCTGGAGCAGAGACCTGTAAGTTGTACTCTTTTTAATTATACCATGGGGAGGGATCGACAATCGATCGCCCGATTCGCGGCCTCAATCTGGCTAGCCCCGCGCGCCTACCAAACCGAACTGAACCTATCGAAATAACGAACAATTACTGAAACAAATGTGAGGCAGCGTGGTGAAATCAGGCTCTCGTCAAAATAGTCAAAGTGAAGAAACTTGCATTTTTCCGCAGGTTTGTGAATTTTTACCGAATGTTTTGTTTTTTGGCTCAACATCTTTCATGCCCATTAAAAAACTAATTTCTATGTGGATTTTTCTGAAAAACGTTGATCAAAGACACAAAAAATGTAAATTTTCAATTACCACGGACGCTAAAGCTAAGTTTCTCACTAATTTTACCTCTGAAAACAGGTGACCCCCACCTCCTTCATTTGCAAATATCTCGACTTGTATTCAAGATAAATGGACATTATTTTCATCCAAATAAAGATAAATGAACAAGCTTTCAGATGATACCAATAACTCTACATGCCCGAAAATTGACGAGAGCCTGATTCCACCACGCTGTCTCACAAATGTTACTGTTAGACCTGACTGATATGAAATCGACATGACACTTTGAAAAAATAGTACGCATATGGCACTGTGTATAAAACCAAGATATCACTCAAACACATATTATATTCAATACAACAAATTTTAAAAAATGTAATTTTCCCCTCCAAATGTTGAACTTACTACGTCAGACCAGCCGGCCAATGATATGGGAAAGACTACCCAGTTATTTCTAATACTACAGTGAGGTCAAAAGGATGACAAAACTAAAAGATAATTTTGCTGAAGAAGAAAAATAGATAAATACAACAAATGGTGAGCAAACATTTTATATGTATTGTTCCGTACTAAATATTATTGTGATGCTGTAGTTTGATGGTGAATTTTCAGGCGCAGCGAACAAGAAATAAATGGCACAGGACATAGGAAAAAAGATATATGTAGACTTTGCTAACAATCACTTAAACAAATGTTGCTATTAGACACTGACTGATATGAAATCGACGTGACACTTTGAAAGAATAGTACTCATATCTACTGCCAAAATTCTGATATCCTTTGACAAAAATGCGACCATGAACTTCTTCTCTTGACAAAATTGATTTGCCCATCTTTTAATATAATACATTGTATTTTTAAGAGTTGAGTGAGAGTGGTTTATTTTTGTTCCAGTAAGAGTTTTATGACACATGCAACACAATAAGGTCATTTAAGTGCCGAAGATTAGAGTTTTACATGGAAGCAGAGAGTATTTAATTATAGTGTCTCTGATGAAAGTAACAAACACAAAAAGAAAGATGAGAGATAAGGCCGATTGATGTTTGATAGTGAGAGTGAGTATGTGTGTGTACTTGGGTGGGTGGGGGTAGGAGGTTCTTCACTACATTGTACATAATCTTGCCTACCCTTTTTCCATAACCCGCTTTAACACAAAAGAGTAACATACATCACTATGGTAACGAAAAAGAAGACGGACAGCATGACTCTGTCCAACTGTGTATGAGACAGCTCATCTGATTGGCTGGAGCAAAACGTCCCAAGTCGTCTGCCGGCCTCGTACACCAGGCGCCGTACTCTGGAAGGACACGTGATGGTTTGGGCGGGTCCGTAGTTCGTTTGTCCCTTCAACTCACTAGTTGTCCACAACGCAGAAACTGATGACGTCATTCCGCTAGAGCGAGTTTCTTCTTCAACAGACAGCGTATCTTCTATAGAATCTCTGTCTCGTGCACAGAATCTCTCGTCCACTCCTTGTCTCTGCGGCGTTATTTGATTTTTCTCGAAGTGCACGAAATTGTTTCCTAGATCAAATGAACCTTCGTTTTTCTCTAGCCCTCTGAATACCGCCTGACTTTTGTAGCGTTTGCCAGCGCTGGGTGTGTTACTGTCTGCGTCGATGTCCATCTTTCTCTTCTTTGTCGCCCTTGCCAGGTGTTTGTTGTAGCGAGCCAAGACCCAGACGGTTGCCAGGGTGGCCAAGATCAGTTTGACCAACAGCGCTATCAGCAAGAGGTTGATGCGGGGAATCTGAGATAGAAGAATACATCTCTTACTTCTACTTCTACAAACGTGAGGCAGCGTGGTGGAATCAGGCTCTCGTCAAAATAATCAAAGTGAAGAAACTTGCATTTTTCCGCAGGTTTGTGAATTTTTATCAAACTTTTGTTTTTTGGCTCAACACCTTTCACGCCCATTAAAGAGGTCGTTTCTGTGCTGATTTTTCTGGAAAACGTTGATTAAAGGCACAAAAAATGTCAATTTTCTGTTACCACGGACTCTTAAGCTAAGGAAATAACTAATCTTTGGCGGCCATTTTCTCACTAAGTTTACCTCTGAAAACAGGTTACCCCCACCTCTTTCATTCTCCAATATCTCGACTTGTATTCAAGATAAATGGAATTTTTTTCATCCAAATAAAGATAAGATAGCAAGCTTGAAGATGATACCAATAACTCTACATGCCCCAAAATTGACGAGAGCCTGATTCCACCACGCTGCCTCACTATTAAACTATTTCTCTCAGGGCGTCCATGTAGTTCTGTGGCCTTACAAGTCTACTGTTCCCGATTGTGGACAATTTATGGGAAGTATCTCGGCCTTCTGCCGTGATGTTGTATGTATCCCTCTCGATACGAGTTGGCCCTGACAGACTTGGTCGAGTCTGCCTCCTAAACGATCTATATTGGGTCAATGGGGGCGTAAAACAGGTACAGTAAAACCAAAAAAACGGTAGTCTAGTGGTTCGACTACCGGACTCACAATTGTGAAATTTAAGATTTAGGAGTTCGGGGTTCAGCTCAGCCCAACGTTGGGTCATTGGGAAGGGCACTTTACGCGAGTTTTCCCATTTATCTCCGTCCTATCGGAGATGGACATTATATTATGAGGCCCTGCCCCTTGAATAACCTCACACGTTGCAAAGGGCGTTAAACCTAAACAATTAGAGCACAGTTGTATATTAGTCATGTTGCAAAATTGTGTATTTCATTAATCATCAGTATGATGGTAACAAGATTTATATTTATCATGTTGTAGGTACGTAGATAAAAAAAAAGAGGATTGCAATATCTCTACAGAAACTTTCTGCAAGATGAACTCTGTCCTCTCAAATAGAAACGTAACAAGTGAACCAAAAAAATAATAAGAACCCTGAAAGGGTACGTATGATCAATCCTTATGTATTATGCGAGAGCTGGACTCTTAGCAAAGACACAGAGAGAAGACTCGAGGCTGGTGAAATGTGAAAAGGTGTATTTAAGGAGAGTACTCAGATTCTCATAGACAGAGAGGAAAACAAATAGAGAAGTGCTCCGAATAGAATCGGAACCACCAGAAAAAGACAACTGAGATTCTTTGGCTTAATGAATAGATCAAATGGACTAGAGAAACTGCTGCTGTGTGGAAAGATAGAGGGGAAGAAGAGTAGATGAAGACAAAAAACAACATACACAGATGGCCTGAACAACTCATCAACGGATAACGCAAAGTGGAAAACCAAGCTGATCAGGAAGACAGACAGCAGGAAGGAGCAAGACATACAGCAGGAAGGAATGGGGTACCGTGGTCGTCAATGTGTGCTCCAGACCTGACACCTGAAGAGGAAAAAGTATTGGCACACAGTTGTGTATTGGTCATGTTGTGTTGCAGAAGACTGTCAGTATTCTCTTATACATTTCCCCATACATTCTGACAGCTCACCTTGTCCATAGACCTGGGCAGAAAGTCCACCATGAAGTTAAGGAAGACGGAGGTGGACACGTACAGGGAGACCAGGAAGGACATCTTCTCCCCAGACTCTGCCGGCAGGAGGAACACCACCAACGTCATCACTGACGTCAGAAGCATGGGCACCACGATGTTGATGACGTAGAAAGTGCTTCTCCTGCGCATGCGTATGCTACAGATGACGATCTGAGCAGAGGCCACGGGATTTTCTGAATCTATACAGTCAAAGGACAGAAGAGTCCATTCAGAACTCGCCGCGAAGTGCTTCGTTAGATCGTATTCATCCCCCAAATAATTGTGAAGATTCCAAGAATCGGCAAGAAACGACAGTTTACACTCATGCTCGTCGAAAGGGAAAAACTCCATGTCCAAAAAACACAAAAACTTCACTCGACCTGGAAGAAAGACATACACTTCTCCGTTTGAATAGATCAAAACTGAAGCTGGCATTTTGAACTCGTCGTTTTCTACGTCCTCTGCCATTCCAATGCGGGGTGTCCATACCTGGCTGGATGCAACCTGCAGACTGTCTAGACCCAAATAATCACCCGGTTCCCACATCAGATTTTGGTCCAGCCAGAAGAGATCCAGTGTCGTCTTCATGCTGACTGTTTGCTCTTCGTCATCCACGGATAAGATTTGATATGGCTCAAAGAATAAATAGGTTTTTGTCGTATAGTTTGATATGATGGCTGGGACTTTCTTGCGTACGACGGTTCTGTTGAGTATATTGTCCTGTAGGTCGACGTAAGCGTCAAAGAGACTGGGGTGGCTGTAGAAATGTTCCGGGGAGGGCGTGGATGTATCGCTGCCCGGCACACCGCTGTTGCTAGCTGCTCCGGAGAAATCAAATGAGAAGAATGCCACAAGGCAAATGTGGAGGAAAAGACAAGCCATGTGTCTTGGTGTGGCGACTGGCTAATGTTGGGGGGTCATTTGTCTGGTTCTGGTTGTACTGCACATTGTGTTGTAGCGTTTATTAAGTCTTTGAGAATATCATGTTTTTAACTGAAATATTATGATGGAATGGAATGTACCCGTCTCTCGCCTCTATAATGAGCACTATGAGAAACCAAATGTCTTTTTTTTCCTTTCACAAACTGGCACGGCAGTTGTGTTCAGTGAGAACATCGTGAATGTATTCCAAAACATCCACCACGAGTGATGGTTTTTAGAGAACTAAACGAGCAGGCTGCTGTGTCATGTCGCACTTTATCGTCGTCTGTCTCTTTTGCCTTTTTTCAGCGTCGATGTCATCAGTCTTGTAATTAGAGCACGTTGTTATACCAAAGAATCACTGAGGTAAATGCAACAATACTTTGTACAACTTCCACATTTTTCCTGGTCATGCACAGCCATTAACAAAACTTCAGAATGTCGGTCCCAACTCAACATTTCTCAAGGAGCCATGACGTACTCTTTGGTGTACCCCAGACGTCTCTATGACTCACACGGCACGAGATGTCTGCCTCCCACGTTTCTTACACAAGACGCTTGTGGCTACAAATGCTCGTCTGCGACACTAGGCACACATACACTCGGGAGAATAAACGAAACGGGAAAAAGAGAGATGAAAAAAAATTGATGGAAGTCCGGTAAATAATGCTGAGAATGATATTCTTTCCACAAATCCTGTTTTCCTACACTCAGATTCCGCCCACAGGACGATGTTCTCAGTGCGAAAGCTAAAAAAAGTTGACTTGTGCAGCCTCTGTTCTCATTTATTCCACTGACGGCAGGACCAGTTATTTACTTCCCAACACCAGGTTATTTGAATGGCTGCAGGGATCACGCCACTGAAGAACAATCTAAGCACAACAGATGTGGCCATTCGACTCCACTATTCAACGTTCACGATTGATTTTTCCCCCTTTTGACAGCTATTCAAAATCGTGGCAGAGCCATTCGAAAGCCTTTTTGGTTTTACAAATAATGGATCATCACCTCATTTTTCTCAACGTGTCGTAAACTTGGAGCAAACACTTGTATAGTGTTATCTAGAATCACCAGGGTGAGACAAACAGTAATACAAGTTCGTTTATAACTTAAAGAAAAAAGAACACACTTGCGACTATCATACCTCAAATTGAAGGGGAGCCTCTGAGGATCAGATTTTTACTTCTCAACATAGTCTCCATTTTGTCCAATACCCACTGTCCCCCTTTTACTAAGTCCACATATGCCAGCTGCGTAAAACTGAGCAGGTTGGTCGTACGAGTAAAGCAGTTTTGAATTCTCCATCATTTCCATAGTGTTGACATCTCGATTTTTCTTTTCTTGAACCGGAAAGGTGGAAGTCTGAAGGATCCAAATGAGGAGAATAAGTTGGGTGTGGCAGTGTTGAAGCTAGAGACGCGAGCAGAGTGAGCCAGATTCCCTATATGGACTTCTCTGTTGACATCCACCCCTTGGCGCTCATATTATGACTATGACCTTTTGCAGTTGCGAGCGCCATAAAAACTCTACTAAAACTAAAGAAAGTACCCAGTCTAGTATATCAAACCATGAGCATAGACTAACAACATAAACTTGTACTGTTATAATATATTTGATTGTGCACCCTGGCATAATTCTGGTTCATTTTGGCGCGCACCTTTTGAATACAATTGAGCCAAGACAGGTGCCACGCTCTCTCGATCAACTGAAGAAAGCTGTTTCACCGTTCGTCTGAGCATAATGGTGCGGCCATGGTACACACGATTCATTTGGGAAGTTTTCTTTTTCTAGTGAGTAAAGAGACGCCATGACAGTGCTCGATTTAAGGATGCAGGTCTATGGGTACGATCTGTGGGACGGCATGTTGATAGAAAACAAGAATGTTACAGCTCAAAATGTAATAATTTCTGGGGGCGGCGTCGGTAGTTTGGTATATATGCAGTTGGGTTGTCCGACCCGTAATCCTGAGAAAGCGGAAAGACACTTCACACGAGTATTCCTATCGGAGATGGGCGTTAATTTGGAGGACCTGCCTCTCAACTAACCTCATTGCGTTGAAAGGGCCGTTAAATTTGTACAACTTGGTATATTTGGCTAGTGGCGTGTAACCTGCACTCACAATCTCACAATTAACACCACAATATGTGACACCATTGCCGCGTAACTCCCACAGTGGGAGGTGAAATGGTTCTGTTTTATTATTCATTTGTTCTCCTTTGAACTTCTGTTATCGTAAAGTAACGAAATGAACACTGATTAATCAATGAACAGATTTTCTACACTGTGAAATGACCCCTCAATTCTAATATATAATTATCTTTATTCCTATCCTCACCTCTCTCCCTCTCCTCCCCCCCCCACTCTCTCTCTCTCTCTCTCTCTCTCTCTCTCTCTCTCTCTCTCTCTCTCTCTCTCTCTCTCCACACAAACACATCTGTCACTAACAAAATATTACATAGTAAGTATAATGGATGTCAGATAAACAGACAAACAGACCTACAGATAGACAGAGAGGTTGGGGTGACATGCCCTCATTTTGATTCTTGGATCTGTCACCGATTATTTTGCTTTCTGTTGTTCATTTGGTAAAACAGAAACAACCTCAACAAGAAGGTATCTTGTTCTGTTTACGTTCACTGTCTATACTGTCGGCCAAGAGATAGGATACACTGTCTAGAAGATTCACCTCTGAATTAATACAGTCTACGAAACAAGTTTAAAAGTCTCTATCTCTTTTAAGAATTTACAATGGCTCAAATCAAGACATCGTTGACAGTTATGAAAAATTCAAGACTGCCATATTATTTTTTTTGTAACAGCTGCTTCTAACATAGGAAGGTGCACTTGTAAGCTATGTACGTGATATACTAGTAACTTTGGATC